TCTATAACTTATTTTCATTTCTAAAATACATACATATATATATATATATATATATATATATATATATATATATATATATATATCCCAAAATATTACAAAACACGAAAAATAAATACATTTCAAAAATATAATTTCACATAAAAATATTATCTCATCTTATTATATACATATAATTTTTAAAATTTTTATTATCCTCCTAATTTATTATTAATTATAAAAAAAATATTACAATATCAAATAAATCAAAAAATTAAAAAAAAATAATCATAGAAATAAAATATAAATATAATATTTAATAATATATTTTTAAAAAATATTATTTTACTACTTTCAATAATAAATCTAAATATATTATAAATATAATAAATATATAAATCGTTTTAAAACTATAAATTTTAAATAAAATATTATAATATTATATATATATATATATATATATTTTTTTTTACTTAATATATATTAAAAAAACTAATCCATTATTTTAAAAACTAGATTAGTTTTTCAATTACTCGAATGATCGATTGGTTTTTCAAATATATATTAAATAATTACAAATAAAAATAAATATTAAATTAAAATTTAAAAAATAATTATTTATAAATTATACATATTATATAAATTATAATTATAAAGTTAAAAAAATTATATTTTAAATTATAACTTTAAAAAAATTAAATTATAAAATTAATAAAAATGTAATTATTTTTAATGTTAAATAAATTATATATATTATAAAAATTATAATTATATATATATATATATATATATATATATATTAAGTAAATTAAAATTATATATGAATTTGAAAATTAATTATATATATATATATATATATATATATATCCCAAAATATTACAAAACACTGAAAAATAAATACATTTCAAAAATATAATTTCACATAAAAATATTATCTCATCTTATTATATACATATAATTTTTAAAATTTTTATTATCCTCCTAATTTATTATTAATTATAAAAAAAATATTACAATATCAAATAAATCAAAAAATTAAAAAAAATAATCATAGAAATAAAATATAAATATAATATTTAATAATATATTTTTAAAAAATATTATTTTACTACTTTCAATAATAAATCTAAATATATTATAAATATAATAAATATATAAATCGTTTTAAAACTATAAATTTTAAATAAAATATTATAATATTATATATATATATATATATATTTTTTTTTTTGTTTTACTTAATATATATTAAAAAAACTAATCCATTATTTTAAAAACTAGATTAGTTTTTCAATTACTTGAATGATCGATTGGTTTTTCAAATATATATTAAATAATTACAAATAAAAATAAATATTAAATTAAAATTTAAAAAATAATTATTTATAAATTATACATATTATATAAATTATAATTATAAAGTTAAAAAAATTATATTTTAAATTATAACTTTAAAAAAATTAAATTATAAAATTAATAAAAATGTAATTATTTTTAATGTTAAATAAATTATATATATTATAAAAATTATAATTATATATATATATATATTAAGTAAATTAAAATTATATATGAATTTGAAAATTAATTATATATATATTTTACAATTCTAAATTTAATTTATTTTTAAGTTAATAATTATTATTTTAATTTATGCAATAAATATATATATTTATATATTTTATATTTTAGAAATGAAAACGAGCTATATTTTGATATATATATATATATATATATATATATATATATATATATATATATATATATATATATATATATATATATATATATATATATATATTCCAAAAATATACAAAAAAAAATATTTTAAAAATATAATTTTACATTAAAATATTATTTCATTATAATTTTTAAGATTTTTATTATCCTCCTAATTTATTATTAATTTCTAAAAACATATTACAATATCAAATAAATCAAAGAATTAAAAAAAATTAATCATACAAATAAAATATAAATATAATATTTAATAATATATTTTAAAAATAATATTTTACTATTTTTAACAATAAATTTAAATATATTATTAATCTAATAAATATATAATTTTTTTTAAAACTATAATTTAAAAATATAAATTTTAAAAAAATATTATAATATTATATATATATATATAATTTTACGTAATGTATATTTAAAAAACTAATCAATTCTTTAAAAAACTAATTAATTAATTTTTTAATTATTGTTTTCGAACAATTGATTACTTTTTCAAATAAACAATTAATTTTTTAAATAATCAATTATAATCGATTAATTTTTTAAATATATATTAAATAATTACAAATAAATATATATATATATATATATATCAAATTAAAATTGAAAAAAATAATTATTTATAAATTATATATATTATATAAATTATAATTATAAAATTAAAAAAATATAACAATTTTTAATGTTAAATAAATTATATATATTATATAAATTATAATTATATATATATATATATATTTTGTATAAATTAAAATAATAATTATCAACTTAAAAATAAATTATATTTAATATATATATATATATTCCAAAATAGTACAAGACACATAAAAAAAATATTTCAAAAATATAATTTTACATCAAAATACTATTTCATCTTATATACATATAATTTTTAATATTTTTATTATCTTCCTAATTTAGTATTAATTTTTTAAAAAATATTGCAATATCATATAAATCAAAAAATAAAAAAAATTAACCATATAAATAAAATATTAATATAATATTTAATAATATATTTTAAAGTATTATTTTACTCTTTTCAACAATAAATCTAAATATATTATTAATTTAAGAAATATATAAAAAAATTTTAAATTATAATTTAAACTATAAATTTTAAATAAAATATTATAATATTATATATATATATATATATATTAATTAATTATAGTTAGTTTTTCTTTCTTAACAAATTAAAATAAATGAAAACTATGGTCAAAAAATTAAATTTTAAATGGTTTGAATAAAAAAAAGAATACGCAATTACCTATAGGTTTCGTGTACTTCTCAACTTAAAAAAAATTAATATACATTTGAGTAATTAAAGAATGAATATGTGCCGCTGGTGAACAAATTTCTAAAAAAATATATGTATTGAAAACATTAAATAAAAACAATAAATGAAAGAGTAAATGCATGTCTGGAAATATAAAATAGTGAATTCAATTACCATATAAATGAAAAAAAAAAATTAGTGAGAGGGTTACAATTACTGGATTGATTGTGATCTGTCTGTCATAAAGAGAGTGTGGATAAACGTCCAGCAAAAATGGGGTGGGGTTGGATGAAAATGAAAGAAAAAGTGGCAAGAAAGTGATAAATCAAATGAATAGTTTGATGGAAATGGGAATAACAATGAAATGGAAATAGGATAAAAGAAAAAGTTAACAGATGATGATAGTAGTAGTAATGGACTTTTCAGTAAATAAGAAGAAAGAAAATATGGATGTGAGTGGACAAAAGCTTTGTGTTGGTTTTATTTGTCTTCCCAAAAAGAGAAGATAGAGAGAATGGGTTGGGGGTAGAGTGATGATAATAATGATAATTTTGCTAGCATAAGTGGGGAAACCAAAACCCCATTTCCTCTCAGTGTACCATTAAACTAGTATATATCTCCCACTCTCTTCCACACACTCCACAACACACACACACACACCAAAACCAAAAGGCTGCCCCATTTCCATTTCCATTGTTAGGATAAGATGTTTGCCCTTTTCCTACACCTACACACATAACATATTGCACTCTCTTGTTTCACTTCAACTCATCAATTTTTCATCTAATCACATCTATCTCAGTTTCTCAAACCCCATCATGCATATAGAGATCTGTCACACCGATCTGGCTACCTTGCTACTTGTCATCTCTACGTTTTGCATGACTCTTTCTGACTAAATGTACAGAAAGTCAGACATGAAGAGAGAGAGAGATTTTTGTGTGTCCCAACATGGTTTTGGTTGGAGTTTATTTTATGGTTGTTGATACTTTTTTTTTTCTTTCCGTTATTTTTATTTGTCTAAAACTCTTTTCATCTTCTTCCTCGGGTCTTGATTTACTTCTGGGGTTTGTTTTTCTTGTTTGTGTCCTTTTTTGTCGACTCAGGTTGTTGGTGACAAACCCTAAATTCTCAGAATTTTGTTCCTCTGAGAGCATGCATATTAGATCCTAGATTTCCCACCTTTGTAGCACTAGATTTCGTGAAGTTTTCCATTAATGGATATCATATTTTCCCCCCTCAGATCTGACTCAGTTGTGTGGCTTTTATTTCTCCTTTCATATTTTTTTCCAAACCTTTTGTCTGTGAACTTTCCATATCTGGGATGCTATTTTATGTGTACTTAGTTTCTTTAATTCCTTCTATTTGGACAGAAATTGACAGAAGAGAGTGAGCACAAAGAGGCACTTGATAACTCTATATCATTGCTTTTGTGTGCTCACTACTCTTTCTGTCGGTTTTCAGTGCCAGAAAATTCTCCGAGTCTACTAAGTTGCTCCATAAACCACAACCAAACCACACCATCTTCTCTCTCTCTCATTTTGATGCAGCTTATGAGGAATGTCTCTTACTGAAACAGGTTAATGACATGGTTATCTATTTCATTATTATTCAGCAGTGAATAAAAGTTATATATGGCTTTGGTGTTCAGCTAATATATATGCTTTTATTTTGTTTTATACTATCTGTTACTATTATTAGTTGAACACAGATGCATACATGTTCTTAGATTGGCTTTATTATGGTTTATAGTAATACTAGTCCTTGCAAAATGGATAAGTATGACTTTTGATTGCATTACCTTGCACAAGGTGCCCTGGTTATTGTGCAGACCTTGAGGGGCACTGTTTTTTATCTTTTGATGTGTATTTGTATGGTAGCGAGTGGGAGGGACCATTCACGTTATATAGTATGGTCCACACTTGTTGTTATTCACTTTCTAGCAGCTACCTAGCTATTATCGTTTTACTGATTTCATAGCCTTTCATATTTTAAGTATTTAGAGTATGCGGGCCATGAAGTTGTTCATTGCTGTGATGTTCTCACCTGAAACAGTATGTGGCTTAATTAGTTAGAATCTCCAAAACAGTACAATTTGTGGTCTGATTCTGAGCAAGCAACCCTATTGTTAGGTTGATGAATATAGGGTTTATCATTACCCACCAAACCTTCTCAGAATAATACCCCATTGGCAAACAGGAATTTAGCGTGAGCAGTCATAGAATTTACTTTGTTATTTTTTGTTATGTATTCTTGTACTTTGTTAAGGTTCTATTTGATCTCAATAAACTGTGATAAATATGTATTTTATATATAAACAGTTTGCAACCTTATTTTTCTTATTGAGTTTGATGCTGATACAAGCATAAACTGAATCTTTCTTGTCAATTAATATTTTGTTACTTTATTAAGATATTAATCTTTATATATATATATATATATATATATATATATATATATATATATATATATATTTATTTATTTATTTATTTTGTTACCCAACCTTTCTTATGACAGTAAACTCTGAACTTCGTTATAATGGCTTGTTGTTAATCATATTGAAAAGAGTGCTGATATTTTATCCTGTGTCTGTGCCTGACAAGAAACACATTAATTGTTGCTGAAAAGTTTAACAATCAAACTCTTTATTCCAGTTGTACGCGTATTGGTTGAACAAATTCAGCTTGCATGGTCCTACATCTACATAAATAAATAAAAGTATAGCAAACAACTTGCAAACTCATAAAAAAAAATTTCGAATGCTTATGTTTAATTTATGCATAAAATAATTTTAACTTATGGATTAATTTAAGTGAAGTTAATTAGCTGCATGATAATGACATCACTGATTGGCTTTTGGATTTCTAAGTTGTCATATTTTTGTTTGCAACTCTTAAAAACAAATATCAGGATCAAGTTCTTATACATTATAGTAGATTTTTCTTGAGACCATCCCTGCAATTCCTGGAAGGATTTTTCAATCAAATATCACTCACAACCGTAGTATTTTTTTAGCACATATGTAATTCACAGTGAATAACTAATATTTGGGAATTTGTCTAGTTTTATATTTACCTGGTTCGATACTGCAAAATAATTATATTCATTTAGCTTTGTGTTTTTCTTATAATTAGCAGAATATATATATATACATATAATTCAAGGAAACTAGCGTACCTCCTTTCTTATAACAGAATTCTTTATCTGTTTATTTCTTCTATAGTCATATTTGATGATTAGTGACATGATGTTGACACTGTCTATATCATATAAGTATTAATTTATTATGAAAATATTCTCTAATAATCAGCCTGAGAAAATCTTTGCTCAGTTACAATCTTATGTGTAGGTGTGCTTGTATTATAAAAAGTCAATTTGAATATATAACTCAGAAACAAGTTTTAGAGTGGTAGTAGTTGGCTAGTAACAACTTGTATTTAACAATGTCTTCTGCAGTTTTGAACTGTGAATTCAATAATCTCATTATATTTTAAGCTTTGGTTGAATTTATTGGACATTGATATTGTTAATACAAATAGGCTTGGAAGAATTGCATGATGCTGGCGAAATAATGACGCACAGTCTCTTGATTCTGTTGAGGTATTTGACTAATTAATTCATGCAACTTTGTATATTATTGTACTTTTATTGATGGTCTATTTCTATTTGATTTATGCACTTTTGTGGATAAAGAATTTTGTAGTCGTTAATTCAAATGGTGTAAGACTACATTTATATTTTTCTGCAGTTACTTTTTTTGCACTTTTTCTGTCATATATCAGCAATCTTTACAGTTGTATTTTATAGTTATCCTGATGGAGACAATGTCAATATACACACCCTAGTCAGCACAAACACAATCCAAAATAAATTTGGAACAGTATGTTGAGTATAAAATGGAAATTTACTTTGTTGGAAGTGCTTAATTAATTTAATTTATGATTGCAATAGTTATATTGGTGCAGTTGTTGTGAGTTCTACAGTTCTTTGGTCCAAAAACATGATTTTCTCTTTGCCCTGTACGACTAGTGAATTTTTTTACTCTGAAATGAGAGTTTGTCACTTCTTCACAATTCAGAATGTTACTGTTGCTTTTTATGCTTGTTTTCTGCGCCATCAGCCTTAAATTCTGGGTTTCTGATTTTTACTATTTATTCACATTTAAATTAAATGTCAATGACTTTTGTTGTCGCTTTGAATCAGTGAAATCAAGATTAAAAGGCTCTATTTCTTCCCCTAATTTCTTATTTATTATCAATTAATATACCAAATATACTAATTATTTGGGCAAAAGAGTCATATCAAGCGTTACAAAACACATTAATAATTATTTATAATCGTATTGGTTGTCAATATATATTGTGTTTATTGTTTGTGATTTGATTTTGTTTTATCCATAGGATTTTTAATTTTGAAATTTAAGGGAATGACTTTTGTGATAATTTGTTGTTATGGATTAATCACAACCATGGATTTAGATGAATGGATTGTTGATGTAGAAGATTAATAATGGATATAGTTTCCTTTTCTTCAATGTTGTAACTATTTGTATCCTGATTTAATTATATATTTACCAAAATATATAGTGCTTTTATAATAATAATATTTCTAAATAACATCGTGGAGTCATTAATGGATTACATAACGTCTTTGTGATTGTTGGGTTGATTTTGAAAAGTCCTACGTCATATTAGATAAGTAATGAAATAGGTGATACTAACTATATAATGGACTTAAAGTTCATGAGGTTTCTCATCCCAGTCAAAGACATTTTAAGCTTGTATTTTACTTTTCTTATATTCTTGTAGTAGAGGATTGTGAGGTTTAGTTTAAATTCTTACTTTGAAGAGTGTGGGTATACTTGGAGTCAAGGGCATAAGAGAGTTGTCTATGTATTGTAAAAATTTTCACTTAGTGTTATTCTCTGGTTATCATTAGATAATGGTCTTGATTTTTTTTCGATTTTTGAGTTTTTATATTATATTTTTGTATTGATTGTTTTTCCTTTATTTCTCTATTAGTAGGGTAATTCTCAAGGATAAATGATAATGCTCTTTATGATATTTTTTTCCATGGTATCAATCACTTATGTGAGTTGGACTCATGTCTTATTGATATTGTTTCTCCCCAATAAATCCCCTCAAAATACTCATAAGAGATGATGTTCATTTATTGTTTTAGAGGCCTAAAACCACAAAATATATTCTAATAGTGGTGCTTCAAGGAGTCTTCTTTGCACATGTTTACTGAGGTGTTGTGACTGCAAAATGAATAATGCTGCATAATTTATAACCTTGGTATTGCTGTCATTAGGTATAAAAGCCAGCTTGAAGAGCTGTTTTAGGAGCCATATCAATGAAAATAATGTTAAAGGGTAGGTTGGTAGAGAAAATTATGCAGGGTTCTTATTCTTATAATTTGGACACATGGTTGTATTTTTCTAATCAATAAAACAAAGAAACATATAGTAAAAATACTGGCACCAGAAGTGATGAGTATATTCTTAAAAATCAGCTACATTAATCTACCAAGGCTAAAGAAACAAAAGAGAAACCAAAGAAAATAAAACAGTAACTTTTGTAACACCATAAAAGCAAAAATTTAGAAAACCAATACTACAAGGTCACTAATTAACAGCTACAGAGAGTTATATGAAACAAAATGAAACGTTTAAGTAGTTTTTAACACCAAACAGTGATCCTAAAGTGACTTCTCCAATTTGGAAGCATATGTGTAAGTTTCAACAAGATGTATATTTGGTTTATGCAAGAAATTTGTACTGATATTGATGTAAAATAACTTCCAATTTGTAGTTTGATATTTTAAGGAGGGTTTGAACTTGTGTGTGAAATGTACTCTCTACATGCTATATATATATATATATATATATATATATATATATATATATATATATATATATATATATATATATATATATATATATATATATTATGTTTCATCAAGATATATTATGTCTGCTGATATATGCAAAAACTTAATATTTGTATCATTTATATTAGACAGTTTGTTGAAGATCGATGTTAGTGATGGATTATTAGCAGAAGTGATATTTTTCATGGGATGTTTTGAGCAATTAGATCATGTGCCAAACTTGAAGGTTGAAACAACAAATCTATGATATAATTCAGACAATATCACTCCAAATTTCATCAATCATGGCTACGGATGTGGAATCATAATTTGATTCTCTCATGTTAGTTATTTGATGAATTAATTATTTTCTTTTTATAAATTAATACTTTTTAATAAATTTTAACCAATACTATTAATGGTACATTAGTAAGAGCAATGTATGATAACTTTCCTCAAATTTTATTATGATGTAATAAATTGTTCTCTCTTTTCCATTGCAAATAGTAATGCTTATAAGTTTTGGAAGGTTCAGATTCAATGACTAAATTGGGATGCAATGCTATAATTGAGTCATATATATGTTTGGGTATATATATTTTAGGGTATTGTTTTGTACATTTTGGAAATGTGTGACTGTTAATTAAAGTTGGGACAATCATCTTCTTGGGGCATTATCGTGTCCATGCCATGATTACCATGATTGAGTGTAGTATGAGTGCTTCATAACTTATAATTATAAGTTTACTATAAATTATAAATAATATTTTAGAGTATTTAATATTAGAGTTTTACAATTTTTATGTGTAAATTAATTATAGTTCATGAGGAAATTTATTTTATTTTTATATTTCCTTTTCTAAAAAGTACTTGTACAAAATTTATTCAAACAACCTTTAGTTATTAGCTTGTTTTTTTATTAAAACTATAGTAACAAAATACTCTTTATACACGCTTTCATCTTATATAATATTCATTTATTAATTAGAATTTATCAAAAGTTAGGAAAATCATTAAATAAGAGAGAAGTTTTTATAATTCAAAAAGATTAATTATTAATAGAGTATTTAAAATGTGTTATTAACTCATAAAAAGATGTGTAATTAACAATTTTTAATACGAACTGAACAAAAACATTTCATATGAATACGTATTGATAGAGATTGGCAAATTGTGACCATTTTTTTTTTTTTGCACTGCGGGGAGGAGAGGTTCAACACTTACCAAATGAATGGATTTCAATACTCATGGAATGAATAAGAGTTTAATTTTTTTTTTTCCTATACACTTTAGTTATTTTCAAAAGTTACAAATTAAAATTATTTAATGCATAAAATAATATATAAATGTTATATCATCTCAATATCTTTAAAATCAAATTTGTATTCATACATAATAAAAGTATTAAGTGAGAAGTTTATGAAAGAGATCGTAAATATATATTTAGTTTGTTATTATTATTTTTCGATAATGGGGTATTTGCTAAGCACACTAGTGATAGTGTGGCAGGTTTTCAGAGTAGAGATACCAAACTAACGCAGATAACAATGCATGCTTTGGATGGCACCAGATTTGATTCGTTGTGTTTCTTTTTTTCTGTTCAGAATATGCATCCCCTGATCAAACACGCTTCCTCAACACCTGACATAAAGCATTTATGACCCTTGTTTTTACTATTAAACTATTACTACATGTTACAAAGTAGCACTAATGATGGTATAATGACACTCTTACCTAGAAGTGGTGACCAATTATTGAATGTTTTATGGTGTCTTAATATTTGCTGTTACAGTAGAATTCTCAATCGATGTGACCCTACGATGGATGCAATAATTGTTGATAACCGATGGCAGATCTCAGCTATCTGACACTAAGGCAAAGGTTAATTTTATGGAATGTTGTAGCTAGTGATGGCTGTCTTTTGGCTCAAGAATACAAGTTTCCAAATTTTTAACATAAACTTTTTTTCCAAATTATGAAATATGACATCAAGACTAAAAGGATTATTGACCTTTTCTAATTGGTAATGAAAAATATTTTAAAAATGGTTTCAATAATAGATACAATTAATTAAAATTTACTTAAGACCACCACAGGAAATATTTCTGTTGAAGCTTAAAATCGGAAGAAAGTCCTATGACATGAATTGATGGGTGAAATCTCAAGGAATTCTTTTTTTTTTCTAAAATAAATCTTAATCAATGTTGCCGACATTATTTCACATTAAGTTGATATTTTGCATGCTTAAAATATTTAACTGGTGTAAATAATGCCACTGAAATGAACAAGGATATATTACTTATAATAATTAATATAGATGATTATTCCATTTTGTGTACATAGATTTATTTTTATCCTTGAAGGATAACTAGTTCCCTTTTTCACATGAAAACTCCACTATTTTTAAATTATAGTCGTTAACTTATCGTAATCTACAAAACTATTTCAATTAAACTTCTATTTAAAAATAATAATTTAATATTTATTCCTCTCCACAAACAAATCACTTCCCTACGCACATGCCTATTAGCAATATAAAACTAGACTCAAGTATTTTTAACTCAATAAAGCAAGATAATATTGAAAAGGAGGCACACGGTATCGGTAATTCCCCTAGTTTTAGTAAAAGCACTAATCATAAACAAACAAGGCACTAATCATTCCATGTTGCTATAATGGGAGCAATATTTCAACCACCCAAGGCAACACAATATTTAGTTTTCTATCTATCTGTGCATTCAACGCTAGGGTGATGAAATATTAAACAAGGTTGCCTAGGAGGATGTAAAGCAAGAAATTGAAAATAAAGAGTAATTCCTTCTCTCAATAATTTTAAAATATATCATTATACATTTACGGGTGGAGAATTATCTAATATGCTGAAGGAATATTTCAATTTAATTTACTATTAAATTTACAAAATAAAAATATTGTGTAATACAACATTAGGTTTTGGTGTTTAAGTAGCCACTTCAGAATATGTTGACATACTAACAGGCACTTTTTGCAAGAGCTCCAGCCGCAAAAAGAAGATTCCTGCGAGAAAACTGCTCCAGAACACAATACATAGTTACATAATAATTAAATCTTTATCAAGTTGAATCAAGACTAACAATGGAAAAGTGAAACCATGAATGCGTAATTAGTGAATGTACCTGGAGAGAGTAAACTGAAGCAGATTTCGTTGGCAGGCTTTTCAACGATCTCTGTCTGTTAGTATTCCCACTTCTACTAATGTGAAAAATAAATGCTCAGTTTTTCCATTAGAAAACACAATTCCTGACGAGATAGTGGTATGTTTTCATTTAAGATAAACTACTTACTTTTCTTCATTCCTTGGAACCTTTATACCTGTAGCTACATCCCAAAATTTGACAGTGCAATCAGCAGAGCCAGATGCAAGAAGAGAACCTTCACAACTGACACATCCAACAACAAAGAACAGTAGCAATGTTAAGACGTTTATACCAACCTAAAATAACTTTTGATTTCCTTGCCATGATCAAGTTGAAACGTTCAGGGAAGTTGGATATGGGGATCACCTGAAAGCGAGTGACCAGACACACGAGGTGTGACCGACTAGAGGTGTGACACAACAGCCACTAGAGAGGTCCCACATCATGATTGTGCCATCTTCATCACCAGATGCCATATGGCGACCATCAGGGGACATTGCCAAAGACAAAATCATACTCCTATGACCAATGAAAACACGAACACATTCCCCGCTTTGCACGTCCCACAGTCGAACTGTTTTGTCACTGGAGCCAGTAGCAATGTAGTTGCAGTTCGAATGCCACTGCACACACTAAACGAGATAGAAGAACAGTTAAACATTGGATAATAATTAATAAAGATTGAAGAAACAAAAATATTTAAAAGAAATACAAATCCCCAATTAAAATTGATTTGTTATTTTGTAACCGTATTCTGTTATCAGCATTCTAGAATATGCTTAGGTGTTACTTTTTTTTTTTCAATTTTGTCTTTTTCTCCATGGTACAAAGTGTAGCTTGTATATATATCATTCTGCCTCTTTCAATAAAGACATAGAATACAATTTTTTCATCATCATTTCGGGTTTCGTTTTATAGCCTTTCTGCATTTCTTTCATTTTATGGTATCAGAGCTCCACTTGGAGCTTTGCTGATCTCCTGTCAATATGTCTGACGTCTTTTATGATGCTGACCCAACATGGTCTTATTCTTGTCTTGATCCCTCAAGTCCATATCATATTCACCCGAGTGAGAACCCATTTTCTGTTTCTATTTCTCCAGCACTGGATGGTAACAATTACCATTCCTGGTACCGTTCAACCAGAATGGCCTTGATATCTAAGAACAAGATAGGTTTCCTCACTAGAACCATACCTACACCAGATGTCCATAGCCCTTCCTATCCTTCTTGCAAAGGTTATAATACCTTGGTTATGTCTTGGCTTGGCTGCTAAATTCCCTTTCACCACCCATTGCACAAAATGTCATGTTCCTGGACTGTGCAATAGACATCTGGACAGATCTCCGTGAACGTTTTTCTCAAAGTGATCTACTCTGTATCACAGAGCTCCAAGAAGAAATATATGGTCTCAGGCAAGGCTATCATTCTGTTACAGATTATTTTACAGCACTCAAATCTGTGTAGGAACAACTTGATAATTTATGTCCATTTCCAAACTGCACTTGTTCTGCAGTTTGTATCATCAACAAGATTTTATTATCCGCTTTCTAAAAGGCTTAGAAGAGCACTTTTCTGTTGTTTGATCTCAAATCCTGCTTATGGACCCTCTTCCACCTATTAACCGTATGTTTTCCATGATTATTTAACAAGAGCGTCACAACTCTTCATCGCCAATCACTGACAAACCCAACACATTCGTCAATGCTGCTCAATCGATTTTCGGGAGAGGACGTAGAGGTGCTCCTGCATGACAATCCAGCGGCAATACTCGAACTTTCTCCAACAAAAAGTGTCTATTGTGGTCGTAATGGACATACAATAGACGTATGCTATGCCAAGTATAGCTTTCCCCCTGGTCATCCAAGATATCCAGGGCGACCACGTTTCCACAACAAAGAAAGCTCTTCTTCTTCCGCTACTGTCAATAATGCTGCACAGAAAGAAGATCCGCACTTCTCTATGACCCCGAACTCTGCATCTAACGGGCTAGGTTACGGTTTCACTAAGGCCCAATATCACAGTCTTCTTGGTCTTCTTCAACAACATAGCAACGGCCCTACAGCCTCTTCTCAGCCCAAAAATGTCAACCTCACCCAAGTGCCAAGCGTTGGCTCTTCTAATTCCACTAATATGGGCCTTGGTATTTGTTTTTGTGAGAAATCAAATAGTATTTTAGGAAAGAATAAATAAGAAAATTTGTATATTTTCTTGTAATCTGTACAGATTTGAATAATTAGGAACAATCCCATAAATCAAGGGATCCTAGCATAAAATAGAGTTATTATATTTCCTAAAATAGTTTAGGTCTCTTGTATATATCTTATATCATCTCTTTGTATTGAGATAATAATAAAAATCATATTTCAGTTAATCTATTTTTCCAGATGGTATCAGAGCTTCCGATCTAGGAAGCTCTGTCTGCGCTCGATAAACCCTAAGACGGCAGCCTGCATTGCTGCTGCATATTTTGTAACCCTAAGACGGCAGCCTGCATTGCTGCTGCATTTTTCTTAACCCTAAGACGGCAGCCTACATTGCTGCTGCATTTTTCTTAATCCTAAGACGACAGCCTGCATTGCTGCTGCATTTTTCATAATCCTAAGACGACGGCCTGCATTGTTGTTGCATCGCACCTTTTTGCTATAATGTCAAGGGAAGAGGAGATAGAAAGGGTGAAAACCATTCTTAGTAAGCTGGAAAAACCTACGGGTATGTGTTCTTTGGCATACTCGGGTAAGTTTCCACCTTCTTTTGGATTAAATGTCTCGGATACGCCTTTTAACCATTATTGCATATTGGACTCGGAGCCACAGATCACATGACACCATTAGCCAAACACTTCTCCACATATTCCCCATGTCCCAAGCAACAAGAAAATTGCCACGACGAGATGGAACCCTTATAAGCTGCTAGCTGGTCAAGGAAATATCCAAATCAATCCTTTAATAACCTTAAAAGACGTTCTCCATGTCCCAAAGTTGTCCACAAACCTAGTGTCTATACAAAAACTTATAAAGGATTTGTCATGTAAAGTTGTTTTTTCCAATGATCATTGTGTATTTCGGGATAAGGATTCGGGGAGGATGATTGGACATGCTAGAGAATGGAATGGCCTTTATTATCTCGAAGATCCAAGTCTGCCCGACAAGAATAGAATTTCTCACTCTTTCATATCCGAATCCTTGATGACCAACGAGAGAAAAAATCATGTTTTATCATTGTCGGTTGGGACATCCCTCTTTTGGAGTGATCAAAATTATATTTCCCTCTCTTGTTTACCAAGTTAGATGTTGAGAGTCTTCATTGTGAGGTGTGTGAATTTGCTAAGCACAAACGTATATCTTTTCCAATAAGTAATAGAATTAGCAATTTCCCTTTTTATCTTGTTCATACTGATGTATGGGGACCTTCTAATATTCCAAATGTGTACGGTACTCGATGGTTTGTCACCTTTATAGATGACTCGTACAAGGGTCACTTGGGTTTTCCTACTTAAACAAAAATCGAAGTCGGTTCTGTCTTCCTAAACTTCCACTCCATGATAAAAAATCGGTTTGGTGTTAATATTAAGAGGCTTAGGTCGGATAATGCCAAAGATTACTTCAATCATGTCCTTAATTCTTTTTGTCAAAAAGAAGGTATAATTCATGAGTCCTCTTGTGTCAAAACACCACAACGGAATGGGGTCGCGAGAGAGGAAAAATGGACATCTATTAAATCGAGACTCGGGCATTGTTGTTCCAAAAAAGTGTCCCAAAAAATTTACGGGGGAAGTTGTCCTTACGAGCAACATACCTTATCAATAGACTACCCTCTAGAGTCTTAGGATCAAAAAGCCCTATGGAAGTTTTGTCGTCTTTCTATCCAAACTTGTCTACTACAAATAATCTTAAACCAAGAGTTTTTGGGTGCATCTCATATATCCATATTCATAGTACGAGACGGGGAAAAACTTGATCCTAGAGCCTTAAAGTGTGTCTTTGTTGGTTACTCACCCACTCAAAAAGGGTATAAATGCTACCACCCCCATCCAAAAAATTCTGTGTCTAGGGATGTTACCTTCAATGAACAAGAGGGCTATTTCCATCAACCTTATCTTCAAGGGGAGAGTTTCGGGAAGATAAGGAAAGTAGTGATTCTGGTTTTCCTATTCTTCCGGACTTGACATTTGAACCTAAACGAAATCATATTGAAAGTAGTAATTCTGGTTTTCCCATTCTTCCGAGACTTGATATTTGAACCTAAACAAGATCAAATTGAAGATCAAATTGAAGTTGTAACAAATGAAACAAGTCAAGGAATTGGTCAAGCAAAGGAAGTTGGTCAAGAAAGTGAAATTAATTGTGAAGCTGATCAAGAAGATGTTGGAAGCTGGAAAATTTGGTAAGAAGGCTGGTGTACTCAAGGAAGACTAAGGTCATTCCAGGATCAAGCCATGTTCAAGAATCCAACTCGACTCCACAAAAAAAGGTAACAATTTTTTCTCCAGTATGCGAGGTTGAAATTGAAACCCAAAATGATCCCGACCTCCCAATTGCCATTAGAAAAGGAACAAGAAAATGCACCAAACGAGCCACTCTACCCTCTCTCAAATTACCTGTCCTTTAAAAATTTCTCTCCTACCCATAAAACCTTCCTAGTAAACCTAAACACTCGTACTTCTACCTAATACCCTATCCGAGGCATTGTCGACGAGAAAATGGAGGCAAGCCATGGATGAAGAGATGGAGGCATTGGAGAAAAACAACACTTGGGAGTTAGTCACCTTACCAATAGGAAAGAGGCCGAGTTGGATGTAAATGGGTCTATACGAGTGAAATACAAGGTCGATGGATCAATTGAGAGATATAAGGCAAGACTAGTTGCCAAAGGGTTCACCCAAACCTATGGAGTTGATTATTTGGAGACCTTTGCTCCGGTTGCCAAAATGAACACAATTAGGGTGATATTGTCCCTTGCTGCCAATTATGGTTGGAACTTGGAACAATTTGATGTTAAGAATGCTTTCCTACATGGAGACCTTGAAGAAGAAATCTATATGGAGATACCTCCGGGATATGGTAAAGATGTTGCTACCAACACTTGTTTGCAAGTTGAAAAAGGCATTATATGGGTTAAAACAGTCCCCGTGCATGGTTTGGCAGGTTTACTAAAGTTATGACAAGTCCGGGTTACAAACAAAGCCAAGGGGACCATACTTTGTTTTTTAAACATTCCAAGTCGGGGGAGTAACAATATTATTGGTGTATGTGGATGACATAATATTAACTGGAGATAATAAAGAAGAGCAACAATTGTTGAGTCAATGCTTAGGCAAGGAATTTGAGATCAAGACTTTGGGAAAACTAAAATATTTTTTGGGAATTGAAGTTGCCCACTCGAGAAAGGGATATTTATATCTCGAGCAGAAATACATCACCGATTTGCTCAAGGAAGCTGGCAAGGCAGCTTGCAAACCTCGCTAGTACCCCATTAGAACCAAACCTAAAGCTTGGAAATGCAGAAGAAGATGTTGTCTGTTGAAAAAGATATGTACCAAAGATTAGTGGGCAGACTTATATATTTGTCACATACCGGACCGGATATTGCCTATGCGAGTGAGTTTAATTAGCCAATTTATGCATAGCCCAAAGGAGACCCATTTACAAGCTGCCTACGAATTTTACGGTACCTTAAAGGAACTCCAGGAAAAGGGATTCTATTCAAAAGGAATGGTAATGTGAAACTTGAAGCCTATACTGATGTCGATTATGCGGGGTCAATTGTGGATAGGAGGTCAACTACAGGATATTGCACCTTTCTTGGAGGAAATCTTGTGACTTGGAGAAGCAAAAAGCGGGTGTAGTGGCTCGGTCCAGTCGTTGAAACGGAATTCCGAGCCATGGCACAAGGTATATGTGAGTTGCTATGGCTTAAAATCATCTTAGAAGACTTGAGGATAAAGTGGGAAGAACCTATGAAGCTCTATTGTGATAATAAGTCAGCAATCAGTATAGCCCACAACCCGAGTGCAGCATGATAGAACAAAGCATATTGAAGTAGACAGACACTTCATCAAAGAAAAGCTTGATAGTGGCTTGATATGCACTCCATATGTGTCCTCTCAAGACCAAATTGCGAGACATTCTTACCAAGGGACTGGGCTGCCATAATTTTGAGAAGATTGTATCCAAGGCTGGGAATGGAAAACATCTATTCACCGGCTTGAGGGGGAGTGTGAGAAATCAAATAGTATTTTAGGAAAGAATAAATAAGGAAATTTGTATATTTCCTTGTAATCTATACAGATTTGAATAATTAGGAACAATCCCATAAATCAAGGGATCCTAGCATAAAATAGAGTTATTATATTTCCTAAAATAGTTTAGGTCTCTTGTATATATCTTATATCATCTCTTTGTATTGAGATAATAATAAAAAAATCATATTTCAGTTAATCTATTTTTCCAGAGTTTTATTTCTTGCACCATCACAGACCATTTGACAACTACACACACATCACACTCATTCAATAATGCTTCCTGGATTATTGATTCAGGGGCTACTGATCACATCACTTGCTCTTTTGATAATTTCTTAAATTTTTCAAAAATTAAACCCATACAAATTACCCTACCTAATGGCTCTAAAGTTGTTGCTCATCTTTCTGGCTCTGTTCAATTGTCTCCACAACTCATTATTAATGATGTTCTTTATGTACCAAATTTCAAATTTAATTTACTTTCAATTTCTAAACACTTGGCTTCGTCTGATTATACACTTATTTTTTCTTAATTTCAATGCCAAATACAGGAAAAGAAGTCATTGAGGATGATAGGTTTGGCTAAGTTGAAGCATGGATTATATCACTTGGGGATGCACACCGAACTTAAACATACCTTTTCCATACCACCTTCATCAATAACTTTACCACTCCACCTGTTATCAACTCCAATCTTTGGCACTTTAGACTTGGTCATCTCTCTGGAACTCGCCTTAACATTCTTCATGCTAATTTTCCCTTTATCTCAAGGCATGTTGATGAGAATTGTGGTATTTGTCATCTTGCTAGACAAAAAAAAAAAAAATATTATCATATACTCCAAGTGCTAATAGAGTTTTTAAAATTTTTTATTTGGTTCACATGGATATCTGGGTCCCTTCTCTCGATCTTCTGTTCATGGTCACAAATATTTTTTACCATTGTAGATGATTTTAGTCATTTCACATGGATAGTTCTTCTTAAATCTAAAGGGAAAGTTCACACACACGTTCAAAACTTTTTTTTTTTTTTAATTGAAAACCAATTTAATCTTTCAATAAAATGCATATGCTTAGATAATGGTCCTGAATTTCTTCAAAATGATTTTTTTGCATCTAAAGGAATTTTTCATCAAACTAGTTGTGTCTATACTCCTCAGCAAAATGGTAGAGTTGAGAGAAAACATCAACACATTCTTAATGTTGCTAGAACTCTTATGTTCCAATCTCAACTTCCAAAACATTATTGGTCATATGCTGTTAAACGCGTTTATTTAATAAATTGCCCTCCATCTCCTATCATTGAAAATAAAACTCCTTTTGAATTATTATATAAACAAAATCCGGATTTTTCTATATGAAAGGTTTTTGGTTGTCTGAGCTACGCTTCCACAAATCTTCCTTGTCAAAAAATTGATGTTCATGCACGACGTGATGTTTTTTTAGGATACCAAACAGGGACCAAAGGATATCTAGTTCTTGATCTACGTAATAGAAAAAAAAAATTTATCTCGAAATGTTTTGTTTAATGAAACAGTTTGTTTAATGAAACAGTTTTTCCTTTTACATCCTTTTACAAAAATCAATCCTGTTCCCCAGACTATTTTCCACCTTCCTCAACACAATTATCTTGACACCCCTTATTCTGATAATGCCAAACCCAATCTTCAACCCACTAATTCCCAGCCCATTTCTCCTTAGTCCACCTCCTCCTCTCCAATGTCCCTTGCCCCTATTCCAACATCGTTACCTACATCCCGAAACGCCCAATCTCCCCCCCTGCTCATGCTAGTTCCTCTCCTACACAACAAACCCAACCTCCCCATCGCTCCCATCGCCCTCATCACCGCTCTTCTTACCTTGATGATTATGAATGTTATACTTTCTCCAGTGATGCACTCCTTACTTCAACGCCCTCCCATCAAACTTCTTCAAAGGTATCTTATCCTGTTCATAGCTCTCTTGATTATTCTCGTCTTTCTCCTTCTTATTCTCACTATCTCATGAGTCTGTCCTCTGGGCACAAGCCCACCACCTACCGTGAGGCTGCTACTCAACTCTGTTGGCAAGAAGCCATGAATGTTGATATACGAGCCTTAGTTTCAAACCACACATGGGATATTGTCCAAGCTCCTCCCAATGTACGTCCCATTGGTTACAAATGGGTTTACAAAATCAAGCGTGACCCTGATGGTAATATTGAATGGTACAAAGCCCGATTAGTAGCCAAAGGCTACTCCTAGATTGAAGGCATTGATTATTTGGAGATTTTCTCTCCTGTTGTTAAAATGACCACCATCCGTGTTGTTCTAGCCATTGCTTCCATCAACAATTGGTACTTGCAGCACCTTGATGTCAGCAATGTTTTCCTTTATGGTGATCTCATTGAAGACGTCTACATTACTATCCCTCAAGGACTACCTGGTTATTCATCTTCCCAGTACTATAAGTTGAAGAAATCTTTATATGGCTTGAAGCAGGCTAGTCATCAATGGTTTACTAAACTTTCTAATTTGTTACTCTCATTTGATTATAAACAAGCTCACGCTGATCATAGTCTTTTTACCAAGGCGACAAGTTCCTCCTTTACAGCTTTGATCATTTATGTTGATGACATTATTCTACTTAGCAATTCACTTGCTGAAATTGATCACTTCAAAACTTCTTTGAGTTCTCATTTTCATATCCGAGACCTTGGCAAATTGAAGTATTTTTTGGGATTAGAGGTTGCTCACTCCTCTTCTGGCATTTCTCTCTATCAGCGCAAATATGGTTTGGATTTAATCTCCAATGTTGCTCTTTCTAATTCTAAGCCTTGTTCTACACCCATGGATAATTCACTACGTCTTCATCAGGATTCTAATGCTCCTCTTAATGATCCTCTCCCCTACAGGTGCTTGGTTGGCCATCTAATTTATCTCACCAGTACTCGTCCAGATATTGTTTTCGCCACTCAACAACTTAGTCAGTACATGGTTGCACCTACTCTTACTCATTTTCAGGCTGCCATGCGAGTTGTCCGTTATCTCAAAACATGTCATGGCACGGGCCTCTTCTTTAGTAGGTCGTCTTCCTTTCATTTACTTGGTTTTAGTGATGCTGATTGGGCTATTTATCACCGATTATTGTTTCTTTGTCGGAAGCTCTCTTATATCCTAGAAAACGAAGAAACAATCTACTATATCTCGTTCCTCTGCTGAAGCTGAATACAGAGCCTTGACATCTGCTACTTGTGAGCTTCAATGGCTGGTTTATTTACTTCGTGACTTGCAAGTCCCTTGTAGCAAATGTCCTGTCCTATACTGTGATAATCAAAGTGCTCTTTACATTGTTGTTAATCCTGTGTTTCACGAACGGACCAAGCACTTAGAGATTGATTGTCATCTAGTTCGAGATAAACTCACTTCTGGCTTAATAAAACTTCTTCCTGTTTCTTCTTCACATTAGCTTGTAGATATATTTACTAAAGCTTTACCCCCTAAACTATTTCAGTCCAATGTCTCCAAGCTTGAGCTTCATGATTTGTTTGAACCTCTAGCTTGTGGGGGCTAAAAGAAATACAAATCCCCAATTAAAATTGATTTGTTATTTTGTAATCGTATTCTGTTATCAGCATTCTAGAACATGCTGAGGTGTTACTTTCTATTTTTCAATTTTGTCTTTTTCTCCATGGTACAAAGTGTAGCTTGTATATATATCATACTGCCTCTTTCAATAAAGACATAGAATACAATTTTTTCATCATCATTTCGGTTTCGTTTTATAGCCTTCTTGCATTTTTTCATTTTAATATTCAAGTACTTCATATAATTTTTCTAAAAAAATAATTCATCTATGGATAAGAGTGAAGGGAACGAGTAAACAGTCAACACCATTACGAACCCCCTCACCATAAAGAAAAAAATATATAAATGCAGTATTGTCAATTGGTTGCAAATATCTATAAGCTAAATGTAAAGGAAAACTTTATCAGACAACTAAGGCATACATGTTGTATGGAGCACAATGTTGGGTGGTAAAAAACCAACAGAAGAAAACTCAGCTTACATAGGTGAGAATGTTGTGTTGAATGAGTGAACATAGTGGGCAAGATCAGATTAGGAATGAATGTATTATAGATAAAGAGTAGCATCTACTGTAGAAAAGATGGTAGCAATTAGGTAGTCTAGATATGTGTGGAGATGTAACCCAATTGCTAAAACCATTAAGGATTTCTTCAGAGTGTTAATTTCTTTCTCTCTGGTTTTATCATCTTTTTAACCATAAGAACATCCCTAATACACTCGCTTCGAAATATATTTCTTATTCATAAATTCTTCATTCATCTAAAACAAGAGCCAAACATCCCCCTATAATTATTTTACTCTCATCTAATAGTACCCCCATCGATGAGGAGAAGAATGCATATTTAACAACTCTATTCATCACCATCAGTATTTTGATTATTATCGTGGTAATTAGGAAGACCCTACTAGAATCCAAGGAGGAAGGGATGCAGAGGCTCCATTCAGCATCGGCAGGCCACTTGATCATAAAAGACCAATGGAGTTGCCATGTGAACTGCGGCTCACCCAAACATTTTGATGATTATTTCATCCTGTGTTTCCTTGAGATGCATAATAAATGACACAATCTCTGGAACCAAAAGGCTAATTTCTTTTATTTGTTGTAGCTTGAGGTCTAAGGACTTGGACAGCAATTTGGATGGATAAACTCAATTCATACTTTATTTTAGTATGGTCTCCTATTTGATCTTTAGTAGTTTGTAGATAAGGTATGTTACGTTAAAAAATGTACTGCCTCGCAAATTGATACAGGTTACTTGTTTAGGTACATGAATTTCGGAAGCAATCAATATGTATAAAAAATTGTAATAAACTAGCTCATGATATAAAAATCAGGACAATTAGGACAAGCACAATAGAAAAATTTGACTGTTAAAACTCACATCAACATCTGACAAATGTCCTGCCATTATTCTTAAAGGTTTTGTTTTGTCCATGGACCAAATCCTAGCAGTTCGGTCATGTGAACAGCTGGCAAAATAATGCCCTGCAGGACTAAACTGCACCAGAAAAAATAAATAAGTAATGTCGCATTCTGGAATGTAAATGCAGACACTAATGGCTCAAAACTAAATAAAATAAGACAAAAGGAAAGTAGAGAAACAAAATATCCGTTGGGTAGAGGAGAAAATCTTCATAAGCTCACGAATTAAAACTTGAGAGAAAGAATTCCCAAAGATACTCGTACTTGTATTGAACAAAAAAGTAAGGTGTATATTTCGAAGAGAGTAGACTGCAAAGTACTTTTAGACTATTACAATTTTTACATTACTTTTTTTTTCCTCTCACTCTCTCCATCCAGTAACCATTTTTTTTTCTCTCTCACTCTCGCACTATCTCTCTTCTCTTCCTATCTCTCTCTCTTCTACATATATTTTTGACCAATACAACTTCTCTAAAAATACATATGGCATCGCCATATTAATTACATTTAAATCCTTAAATTTAAAACTATCCTTAGAGTATATGAGGAGTTGTTCTAAGTCATCAAATCCATAAAAGTTAGAAAGATTTAGATGATTAGAGTTTTACCTGAACATCCCAGATAGGGTAATTGTGACCCTTGTAACAAACAAGATTGGCATTAAGCTTTGTACTCCATAATCGAACTGCATAAATGTATATTCATGGTTCAGAATAAGACTCGCAGAATTAGAAATACAAGTATATAGAAAGCTTAATTTCTATAAATTGTCAATGTAAAATATTTAACATTGTCAATTGATAAAAAATCATGTTTTTAAGGTAATTATTGTAGGAGTTGTTAAATATAACTTATTTTCTCATTCTTGAATGTGAGAAAACAAAATAAACTATCAAAGGTGAATAAAAGGAATTAGGGAAGAACATACAACATTCAAATGGGATCAAAGCAACGTACTTGTTTTGTCTGCTGAAGACGAAAGAAGAAAATCCCCAGCAGGACTAAAAGTGGCTGCATAGACTGGACCTGAATGACCTTGAAACAATGTGTACTGTCTTCTCCCACTATTTTGCCCAATAATTTGTTCATTTTGTGATGTGTCATTCCCTCCCTGCAAAAAAACTGATGATAGAAACAACTGAACTATTATAACAAGTAAACATAAAACTCACATTTGAGCATATTGAATTCCTCAAGACTCAAACTTGCTTCAATCAGTTTAACTTCTGCTATACCTTAAGTGTAGACTTGATTCAACTCCAACAGTCATATTTTATTAGACACCATAATGTTTTAACATCAGACATGATAATATAGTTGAAGAAGCCAGTTTCATATGCGGATGGACAAGGTTGATCAAGATTATCATCATATCAGCGAAGGTCCAAGGACCTTCATTGCATACAAATTACAATGACATCACTCTCTCAAGTGATATTTAAGATCCGCTGTACAATCCAGAAAAAAAAAAAAGACCCAGAGAGATCTAATAAAACCCCCGAACCTTTTTGAACATTTTCAATAAAAGGATTAAGGGGGAAAATAGTGCACCCACACTGTTTTACATCACATTCTTATACCAAAAGTTTTTTCGCCTACAAATTTTTAGAGGCAACATCTAAAGGAAAATGCACCATAGATTTTATATGTACGCATAAGGAAACTACTACTGAAAATGTTGCATGCATGTGTGTTCGTACAACAAAGACATCACTCTCTTAAATGTTATTTATATCCACTGCACAATCTGGAATAAAAAAAGACCAAGAGAGATTTTATCAATCCCCCCAAACATTTTTTGGAAAATTTAAGGGGGCAAATAGTGCACCCACAATGTTTTACTTCACGTTCTTATAACAAGTTTTTCCCATACACATTCTTAGTGTCCAAAGTCTAAAAGAAAGAGCACCATGAATTTTATATGCACACATCAGGAAGCTATATCATTGTATATTTTGCAACTGTATGTACACACACATATACATAATATCAAATTTAACAAAATGGGTTTTATAAGTAGTATTAGAGCACTGAAGCACATTACAGATAACCATAGACAATTACTCACACAGAAACTTGTTTCTAATCATATTCATGTTTGCAAAGCAAAGTAGGCAACAAATTTACTCAGCTTGGTCTAAACAAAAAGATTTCATCTATAAACTTACAAGTGGTGGATTGTTGCTCAATTTTCGCCATATCCCAGACCTACAGATACAAGTCATAATAATAAGCACAGGTTCACATTATCCGTTAAGATAAAGCTGATAAGGGAAAATGGTTGTCTTTTTGGAAGGGTAGAAGGAGAAGGAGAAGAAGGAAAGAACCTTTAGTGATGAGTCAGAAAATCCTCCAGCAAGCAATGATCCATCATGAGATATTGACGAACAGCTTAAACTGGGTAGTTCAGGAAATACTTAAGTGTTACTCAACAGAAAACCAAACATAAATAAACTTATTCTGCCAAAGTACATCAGATATTACCCATTATGCGTATTTACAAATGTGTAGAAGTTAACTGAAGGGAGAGCAACACTACTCAATTGTACACGATTCCTTAAATCTTCAAGAATAGACAGTTCTACATCAGTTGAACTGCAAGAATTCAGCATAACAACATTCAACATAATAGAACTAACATATCTTCAATGGAATTCTTTTCTATGACATTAATGTTATCTCATTAGTTATTATTGAATAAAGCCAAGCTCTGACTGTGCAGTTCCCACTGTGAATAAAAATTTAGATAGGATGATGTCCTCTGGTTTAAACTACAACCTACACAGAATTTGCAATGCCAATTGTACAAAGAATTAGACAAGAGACAATACACTGTGGGCAGGGGTAGCTCTGGTTTAATGCGAGGTGCTGCAGATATAGTGTTAGCTTCTGGTTTAGCATTTTTCCCTGTTGCACTGCTGACCTTGTCCTTTTTTACCTTTTTTACTGAATTACCTTGCTTTCCAACATCAATTGACCTTTTCTAATAGAGAAACAATTGAAGAACAATTAACACTTTTTGATAATCAAAGAATCTGCAGTATTAAGGTGATCAAAGTGCAATCAAATGGAACACAAGCTCAACTTTTAAGTGCAGAAATCCTAAGAAATGTATTGTATCAGATTATACAGTAAGAGCATCATGAAACATATAGATTCAGGGGTGCACTCTAAAAACAGATGTACCTTACTCTCATCATTGTCTATCTCTTTGCCTTCCCCTTCACCCTTTTCTGTGCGTGAAAGCAAGGCCCCAGCCTTGTCTATGTGGTCTTCTATAGAATCTTCAAACATCTGACACAAATAATAATGAGATTGAAATCAGACCATAATTGAACATCAGAAAAATATTTCTATTAATGAATTCAATGAAGAACTTTTTTGGAATGGAGTTTCGGGTGGTTGATTGACACTAGATGCAAGTTCCATGGGCTTTACCAAGAAATACCTTTACTCATATGCTAGTTCAGTGATAGACACTCCTATCCTTATCCACATTTCAGTTAGGTAATGCTTAATCCTACACCAATTAGTGTTGAGTCTCTCCAAATCATCCATTGTATCAAGTATTAATTAGGAAAACATTTTCATAGTTCTTTTCTTCATCGTATCAATTGTCAAGCTATGACTCTTAAGTCCATTTTGATGTTCCATGTCCTAGTCATACTGAATCCACATTAGAGTCAACATATTTTATCAGATTCGTTAATGATGATGTTACAGTCCAAGACAAGTCACAGGACGAGAAAGGAGTATGGATGGGTTCAGCAATTCCCCACTGGCCCACAATTTCAAAAGTTGATACTAGGAGAAATAAAAGGAAGGTAGAAATATCTGTGAGCTTGGAAAGATAGAGAGGAAGAAAAGGAGACTTAGTTATAATTTTTCTACATAGCAAGGAGACGAGGGTAAGGAGCACCAAGGAGTATCATTTGCGTTGTTATGAGTGAAGAGCAATAACTCTCTACAGGAGCTGTGCTCTGAACAGTGATGATTATATCCTACTGATTTTCAATATCCTAATAATACTCATCAATTTTCCTTTTTATTTTCTCTGCATAATTATTACAGTTGGATTCAATTTTGTACAAGATTATTCTGAATGTACTTGATTTTTCTAATGATACATTGATCTAAGTTGTTTCCCATCTTTCAATATTCTTACCACGCAATAGTAAATCAATTCAGTGTTCCCATCTGCAGCTTACATAGAGATAAAACCCAAAGATATTTGTCACTTGCTTCAATATTTAATTAATGGCTTCTTCACTAAACATCTTGAGCTCATACTATTCAACAAAATACGATTTTTGAAAGTACAATAGGAATCTTACTGAAACCACTCAGACTCTCCTTCAAATAGTAAGGTTTCCTAGTCATTTTTGGGGTCATGTGCTCACAACAATGTGCTATCTTACCAATCTGATGCTCTCATCTATTCGTAACAACCGTGTACAAATTCAGTCATGTTCCCTCATCATTCCTTATACCTCTTAGGGACCATGCGTTTTGTCCATAATCTCAATCCTAGGGAAGACAAACTTCAATTCACTCTCACAATTGTATTTACTTAGGTTACACAAGGTTTTGCAGGAATTGTATATTCTACTCACTAACTCATGTTATCTAGGTTACCTAATGCTACATTCTTTGAGTTCATTATGTTCTTTGGTTCCAATTCCTCCTTTTTTTAACCTATTATGTTTTGTTATAAAAGCTGAAATTTTAAAATGTCTTCAATTGGTTCAAAATCATCTTAAAATGTCTTCCTCACGGTTACTCATCATAGCATTTCCTTTGAAATCAATGTGACAGGTCATTTTCTTAATTCTGTGTGTAGAACATTGAAATGCAGTCATTTGAAACAATGGATATTAAAGGTGCCCCCAAAAAAGGCTTGTTATTGGATACAATAATCATACTCGAGTTATAGGATATTCACATGTAGATTAGGCAAGTTCTTTTTACAAGAGATCCACCTTTAATGGTAAGATAGTATTCGAATAATTCGTAACTTTGAATAACTAATGATTGAGGGATCCTTTTCATGGGGAATAGGAGATATTTTTGCGGATCTAGTGTCTATTAAAATAAATTGATAAATTTTTTCCAACCCATGGGGAATAAGTAAATAGTTGGACTGATCTGGCCCTTCGCCCAAAAGATGCCTGGGTCCCACCCATGTGAAAATATCTTATTAAACCTGTCATTTATATTTTGTCGTTTCCGAAAGTAATGCGTGTCATTTGTATTTACTTTTTTCTGTCTTTTGTTGTTTGTGTCGGCCACCAAAAGTAAGGCGTGTCATTTGAATTTACTTTTCTTTCTGTCGGCCACTATCTATGCATGCCAGTTGTAAGATTCGATCGTGAATAGCTGAAACTTTTACCTATAAAGAGTCCATTGAAGAAGTAGAAGATACAGCTCTTCTGAGCCTTAAACTCTATCTCTCTCAACCAACTCTTTCATAGCTAAGTGTCCAGCCTTCTCTTTTCCTCCTGTATCCTGTAAGCACTTTCTCTCAAAAGTTTTAAACCTATATATATGGTCTTGATAAGGGTATACTTTTACCATTGTGACCAAGAAAATGTGGCTACCTACTTTTTTTATGTTGATGATACAGTCATTATAGGTAATAATGCTGCCAAATATTCCTAGTTTAAAAAAAACATACTTAATTAGTCACTTTCAAACAAAAGAACTTGGCTACCTGGAATATTGGCATAATGGTGGATCAATCCAAGGAAGCAGTTGTTATTTCATATAAAAAGTCTACTCTGGATATTCTGGAAGAGACAAACATGACTGATTATAGGCTCATTCATAATCCTATCCTATGAACCCAAGTAAGAAGTTAACGACAAAACAAGGTGAATCATATTCAAATCCAAAGAGATATAAGATTGGTGGGGAAACTCACGTATATTAGACTTACAAGACTTGATATTTCTTTTATTATTAGAGTTGTTAGTCAATTTATGTAGGCTTTTCGTATTGATCACTCGAACATTGTGATTCACATTCTTAGATATATTTAAAGGGCTCCAAGTCAAGGTTTGATGTATAAGGATAACTGAGATATCCAATTTTTGGATAGTTATAGCGAAGTTGATTGAGTAGGATGTGTCCTATATCCGAGATCTACAAGTGGATATTATATCTATTGGACAAAGAGTCTACTCATTAAAAATTAGTATTCCACACAATAACCCAGGTACGTGATGAAACGATGACAAGGGATGTAACAAATGTCAAAGTTCAATTGACTGTTGCTCAAGGCATTAAAACTCTGAAAAATGCAGAAAAGTAAGAAATTTTTAAGTCTTTGAAAATATCAGGTAATATTCATGCTATCAATACACTTTTGATTACAACAAAAGCTTGGAAACAAAAAGAGCCAGATAATTTTATAATATTGTCTAGTTTTGTAAATATATTAGAAGACTGACCCCCCAAAGTATTTCTTTCTGATTTATCTGGTTTGCTGCATTTTGGATGCTTCCACTGACGGTAACAGCTTCTGGATCATCAGAAATTGAGCTTGGTTGTCCAGCTGTAACTGCATGGCAACAAAAACAATGAAGTTTATGCAAAATTGACAAGTAAAACAGAATCAACACACATAACTTAAAATGAGGAAAAGTACCTTGGAAGTTAATATGCTCATTGATAATACCAATTATAGTGGTGGATTGCATACTGTGTAGATGTTGCCATAGAAGCTCGTAAGAATACTGCCAGAAGTCCAAAAGATTAACTACTATCAGATTTTTCAATGTATTCCTCTATCTTCATAGGGAACATAAATGAAATAACCTCAATGATGAAAACTCTGTAAAAGAACTAAATAAAGAAAAAAGTGGTCTTTATTTTTTTCACAAATGTAAATCAAATGCTAATAGTGAAGAGCATTCTCTCAAAGAGAAAAGCATCATCAATACTAACAAAAAATAAAATCACAGGAGAATAGTCAAACACAGAAAAGAAAGCTCGTAAGGGGCACACAAGTTCTGCTCTACTTCTCATGGATTGTGAAACTAACTGAACAAAATGTTTAATTTGAATGAGTTCTGAAAGGAGTTACTGAAAAACAGTTCAATTAAAGCATATTGATAAACTAATTTAGGAAAACAAAGACATTACCCGACATATCTTTATGTTGAATTTACTCTGCCTAAGGGAATGAGCAAATTCCATTTCCTGAGAAAGAACAATATTGAAGGATTGTATAATGCTAGTAAACTAATAACTTCCAAGAAACATATAAAAGATATCATATTCTAGACAGCAACAAACCACCAAATGAGTAGGAGAAAGAACTAGTTCCAATTTTTGAAGATCCTGCGAGTGCATTATTTCATGGTCTTCACGAAAGGTATTGAAAAAGTTCCAAGCTGAGAAGATCCAACGGAATCATGAATCATGTAAATAAAAGCATAAAACACATGTTGCACTGATAGCCACATTAGGAACTTCAAAATCCAACAAAAATAATTATAATTATTATTATTATTAAATGTGTGTTTAAGCAATATTTCATACCTTCGTGAAGATGCCCTTTTGCCACAAGATCCATGAAGCAATGAATAAATACTGGATAAAGCACACGCATTAACTCATGCTGCAAAGAAGTGGTAAACCATAAGTAATAACTACAGAAACTGAAACATAGCAATTATGTAAATGAACTTTAAACAAGACAGTAACCAATCGGCATGTTACCTTGTATGATTCAAGTGACCTGTATGCCCATGATCTTAGTCTGCCATAGCCATCATGGTATCTTGCAGAACCTCTATCTAATCTGCAAAACAAAGGGTTTTCATTCAAAAAATACTCCTCTTCAACAGCTTACATGCTGGCTAGATGTTTTTGAAGGAAATAAAATCCACTTTGAAATCTTATTTATGCTATAGTTTTTTTTTCTGAGATGCTAAAAAAAGTCAATAACAGATAACATTTGTGGTTTAAAAACACACCTTAGATAGGCCAAGTAAACTAACTGTCAGTTTCATCCTCTTGATTAGTTCAAAAATACTATATTTCCCAATTGGAAAAAGTAAAATATTGGGAAAACCAAACCAACAAACTTTTTTCTGCCTAATTCACGAAAGTAAAACGACACACCTATCTTTTTTAATATAATTTTCATTGAAGCTCATCCTCTAAATTAACATAGATGAGCAAGCAAGACTGTTTACAGCCAAAGAAATTAGCAACGTGCACCAATGTGAAAGGATAACTCTATTGATTAATAATGCACATTCAGATTAAATATTCCTATGTTTACATAACACACAACGCATCTTCAAAATATGAAATATAACCCAAACCTAGCCCGTAAGGAGGGCAACTGCCCCCACTGAAAATTTGCATTTTCATTGACATGTAACAATTTAAAACTAAAATTTCCTCTTACAAGGTTTAAGTGTTTTTTTTTTCAGAGAACCCAGGGTATTCCTCCCAGTAGTAAAAGACTAATCACTCAAAACACTGTTATCTATTATTTACTAAGCTTATACCTCGCAACAAATATTTTCCATTAAACAGACCTAGTAATTAAACTCCTGAAGGACAAAGCATCTCTCATCCATACAATACCTCACATGATTTAAATGCAGAGTATACTCAATTTTAAGTGGTTCAGGATTCAAATATTAGAAAGGGAGGACCCGCATCTCCCATGATGTTAGTCCTTGTTTCTGACCATGAATAATCCTTTACAACACCATACTTATATATATAGTCCATCGATTTAGGAGTGGCACTGACGCTATGCAATTTTAAGTCTATCTTTTAAAAATCCGACATAACTTTTCATGAGCAAGGGGTTAAATAAAGTCACCTAGCAACTCCAAGGTAGTGGAGCACTATAATTTGACCTATATTAAAAACGAAAAAGATATAGAGAGTGAATACTGAGCACGAGTGAGAGTATCAGGTTGAAGAGACGAATCGGAGTTGGAGATTTGAAGTTGGTCATCGTTTTGCGGAAACCCTTTCTGCTTGAGGTACCCACTTACACAACCTTCTATTTGATCTTCGTCCATGCCCACACCAGAGAAACAATAGTGATTGATCACTCTTTCCCTCCTTCTCTCTTTTCAGTATTCTCTCTCCCTCTCTTTCCCGCACTACTTCCCCTCCTGGACCCTGAGTAAAATAAGTCGAGCCCAATCAAAATTGGATCGGTTCAATAGACCTAAATTTTGATATCAATTTTTAATTCATTTTCATATCGACTGGGTTCAAAAGTCACGTTTGATTCTATCTAGTTTGTAAATATGGTTTGATATAAAGATTTATCATTATTTTACTTACTTGGTTTATTTGTTTTATAAAAGTATATGATGAAATTAATTATAAAAATTTGCTAATATATTATATATTATTAACCAATTAAATCAAATACATTATATATAGGAATATTTAAAATTAAATCGAATAAAAATTAAAAGATAAAAATAATAGTGAATAAAAAAATCGACTATAAATATATGTTTGAGTTAATTAGGTAAAGATTTGTATCTAATCTTTTAAGAAATATGGTATGATTTAATTATTTTATTTTTACAATATAAATTTATATAATATCTATCATGACAAAAAATAATTATTAAGTTATTAACTAGGAAATTATATAATTTATGTATGAACGTGAAAGTAAATTAAAGTTATAAATATATATCAATTATAAAAAAAATTGGTATCAAGTATTTCTATTCAACAAATTTTTGTTATAAAATAGTTTAATAATTTTATAGAAATAAAACCTGCACAATTTTATTCAAACTAAATTGCATGACTTAAATAAACTAGACTAACAAAATATATATAAAAATTATTTATTTATAAAATTTATTGAATGTTTATAATTGTTTAAAATAATAGTATTAATATTTATACATTTTATTTGTTAGCAAGACAATTATTGATGAACAATTCTAACTTAACTTCCATAAAATTTAATAAATGAGCTAATTATTGTAAGAGAATATAAGGGACTATTGGCATGATCATTGGTCTGACCTTTGTATCAAATACTAGCAATTATTTTTGGTTCATTAATTGGTAAGAAAATTTATTTATTTTTTCATTTTTATAATTAATATTATTAGGTATGGTGTTCTTTACAGAAATGAGTTTTCTTTTTTCTTTCTCTAAATTCCCCTTAGATGCAAATCTACTTATTTTTATTTAGATTCTCAAGTTTCATACCAAATCACAATTCAGGTTATTCTAAGACTAAAAAAAATACACATCAAACAACTTCTATAATGTCTCCGCACTAAAATTCAACATCATCATCCTCATAAAATTTAGTTAAACTCCAATACACAAATTAAAACCTACTTTGGGATAAAGCACCACAACACCAAAAATCAATATATTGATATAATACTTATCCTACTTAGCTTTCATTTTTATTTTATTTTTAATCATGCGTCCGACCTATTTGTTAAACCTATTTATCCATTTGTAAAATGTAAATAATATCATATACAATTATCATTGTCATAGAAACATTAAGAAGTAATAAAATTTGTCTCAAACACACTTTGTGATAATAAAATATTTAAAAATAAATTAACAAAGCATATTGTATTATCCTAATCTTTATTACTTGAAACACCACCAAACAATATGACATATTAAACACATTCTCACCCAACCTTTTAAATATTTTTTGAATATCTTATGTCATCATATATTGATACACATTACAAACATTTGTCTCTATTTTTAAGGAAACTTATATACTTTGAATTAAATTTGGAGATCTGTTTTTGTCACACTATCTTTCAAAGTGGATATTTATAATATAAGTACATAATTAAAACATATTCTTTCATATGACAAGGTAAATCTCTATAACTTATATCAGATACCATTTTTTTTACACCACAAGTTTAACCATAAAAGATTTTCTTCAACTCTTACCATTTGATATTTTCCTCTATGTGAATATGATATTAGCAGAGTTAGAATATCTTCTTCAAAATTTTAAATTCAATACACCACATATATCTTATCACAATATTTCCTCATTAAAAACCACTATGTTAACTTGTATTAATAGACCATAGACATAATACACTTATAAAGATATTTAATGATATTTCTCATACTATATCAAGATATTTTTCTTTATATAGAGTAATATATAACGTACCTCATTTCATTTCATATTCATAATATGTATTCTAATATTTTATGTTATATATGTATCATTTCTTACATAAATATATTTTTTTATTTGATATTTGTCTTTTGATCATAACTTACTGAATAGATGTTATTTTTTATAGTTCTTATTTCAATGGTTTCCTTATTTATAGGTATTTAATTTTTATATATGAAACATTTAAGTTAAAGTTCAAAGTAATTTTTTATAATTTTTTAAGCTTAGCTAAAAAAATATTAAAACTTTAGAAATTCATTTAAATAAAATTCTAATCACTTTCTAAATTATTAAAATTTTCTATTTATAACTATTTTTAATTTAATTAGTAAAACTTCAAACCTTATCCCTATTAAATTATTTCTAATATTCTTCAATCATTTAAACTAAGTCCTTACATCTTAAATAAAAATAATAGTATATTTAAAAAATAATTATAAATAAAATATTTATAACAACTAAAAATAAAAAATACATTGGGTGAATATATTGAAAACAACAATCATTATAAAATAATTATTTATAAAGACAAAAATAAAAAATAATATATTTACAAAAAATATTAACATATTTATGTTAAACTAAAATTAATTAATAATTATTAAACTTCTTAAAACATATTTGTATTGTCTCCAATATGTTCTGAAAACTTATAAATCATTCACTTTTAACATTAATATAATTTATTATTTTTCATTTTATTTAATTATAATAATGATTACTTTTAAAACAATACATAATAATCAATTAAATATATATTTTTACGTAAAAAATTATTTGTAATTGTCATTATTAATACCAATTTTTAGTTGTTGAATACAAAATATTAAAAGTAGGCTGATGAACAGACTTGAAAAGTTTGTAAGATAGGTCATGTAGAAAAAAAATTATGATTTAGATTAAATTATATAATTTTTCATGTGTAGAACATCACGTACAAATGTCGTTTCTTCACTGTCAAAACTGGCAACAGCTGCTAAGACCGCATTGGCTTCCATGTCCTTCTTCTCTTCCTTGTTCGCAGCCAAAACTCTGAAAAAGGTAAACTAATTTTCATCTATTTTTTTAATATATAACTTAAAAAAAAAACATACGTATTTTTTAGTTTCATGAATAATATATATATATATATATATATATATATATAATATAAATATATATATTTTTTAATTGAATCACCTTTTTTTATTACATTTACTATTTTTTTATTTTTTTTATTATTGTTACAAGAACAATTTAATTATCTATAACATTTTACAAGACTAATTTGAAATTCTAAATTCTAAATTTGTCATTTTTTGTGGTTAAATCTACTTATATTTCATTAATAGTATATTTACATATAAATGTATATTAAATTTTAGGATGTTATGCTATGACTAAGTGGTTAAGTCTAATTAACTTAGATTAAGTTCACCCCAAATTGAACATTCAAAACTCATCATTAAACAAGTAGAAATTTGTATTAAATTTAATCAATTGAAAAAGAATTAATTTGAGTTAATATTCAATTTAAAAATGTAGTTTTTATTAGAAATCCTAAACTTATTTAACCGAATGAAATTTCTGAAAATTCAATATCTATATTAAATAAGTTATTTGAGTTATTTCTTGCTCCTTCTAATTTCAAAATTATTATATTATTTATAAAAAATTTACAAAAATAGATTAAGCTTGATTGGAAAGCGTTCCCACTAGATCATATAACAGCTTATTCGAAAATTAAAAATAGAATATTAATTTAAAAATAAATTATTTTAACATTTTATATGATATTATATTTACGTACATCTCTCCATCACTTAAACAGTCAGTCATATTTTATCTACCCTTCTCTCTTCTTTCTTTTTTTCCTTGTTAATAAATTTTACACACCGTTATTTCAGCCATTATAATATATGATAAATATTCTTTTATTTATACATGAGACATGCCTTTTTTTTATCCATTAGAGAAAAAAATGCAAAAAGGATAAATTTTAAATTAATATTTAAATTTGTATGTTTTAAACAGGTTTAAAAGTGGATTGAATCTACCTTTTAATCGGTCTGAAAATAGATTTATTACTTCCATTTTTTTTATATATATAATTCAATGAATAAAAATTTAATTGGATCCAAACTATTTAAATAATTTTGTAATTATTTTTGTTCTTTTACTTATTTTATCTCGTATAAATCATAAAACTATTTATTTTATTATATTTTCCTCTCGCGAGCTAGTCTTTTATTTTTATTATTTTAAATTTTTTATCATTTATTATATTTCGAGATAGTCTTTATTATAATTTTTGGTGACAACAAATATATTCTTTACTACATTTATAATTTTTTTCTAAGTTGTATATTAATAAACTTATTATATTATCAAAAATATATAAAAATATTATTTTATTAAACCATATTTTAACCTTTAATCTCTAAAATATGCCCTAATTCAATATAAAGCCAGATTTACAAAACATTTGTTTTAAAATTCAACTTTGTTTACTACTTTTGTTTTTAAATAATATTGATGACATATTTTAAAGCATGCCTGAAAAAACAGTGAATTCCAGTTTAAAAATTAAGGTAAAATAATAATTAAAATTATATTTTAAAATATGATTTCACCTTGTGGAAAAAAATTCACTTTTACAGATACCAATGAACTATTAATTAGAAATTGTGTTTTAAAATAGACTTTTATAAAATTTTATCCATCTGGGTGTAAAAATTTATATTGTCCTCAATACACACTATGTTCCTTGTACTGAGATTTAATTGAAATTAAGTTCTCAGGGCAGAAAATGAAAAAGTGCACAAATTTATTTCACAAAAGGAAATACAAATACCAAGAGGTATAATTTCAACTTCTTTTTCCCTTTTCCTCACTTCAAATTTTTATATACATTCTTCTGAAGTATAATCTGCATCTGAAAGAAGCATATACATGCTGTGGTGGAACTTATTATAAGAAAATAATCTTTTTTATAATCTTTTGCAAATTAAAAAAGATTATTTTTTAAAATTAATAATCTGGTCTTAATCATGTATGTGTGAACTAATTCACCATTTGGCCCCTAGAATTTTTCCTGAAATGGCAGTGGCAAGTGCTGTGGTGAAATTGGGGTCCCTTGTCAGAGAAGAAGCCATTTGTTGAACCAAAAATTGTTGGACAGATGACTTTTGGGCACTTTCAACCAATCCTGATTTGACCATATCAAGCATTAGAGTGGGGCAAGCACTTGGAATTGAGGGTGTTGGTGAGGAAACAGGACTTGACCCTTTAGGGCCTTCACTCTGGTTTGAAACAAGTGATATTTCACCTCTTTGATGACCATGGTTATGCTCTCCTTCATATGTTGTTACAAGTATGGTAGGGTCTTCTAAACTTCTTTGCACCTACATAATAATATCAAAGTGACTTTTTAGTTGGTTCATGTAAATCTGTTTTACAAATACCATTAATGTTTGAAAAGTTACCTTCTTTTTAACAGGGCAGGTTGGGGCAAAGGAGCACCTAAAGTAAGCTCTAGGAGAAGGGTTATCTCTAGTGACCTTTTGACCATATTTCCTCCATTGATATCCATCCATCACATACTTCAGACACATCCAAAAACAAATTCAAGATTCCCAGTCAGTATTCAGTGTTATCAATCAAGCTTCATAAATCAAAATTGAAGATGCTAATCACCATAAGAAACATGTTTAGCAACTTACTAAGCTATTGTTGGAGGCTTCGGTCTTGACAAGAACCTTGGAAACCTTGGGGGAGGAGTTGAAATCCTTGTACCTTTTTAACGAATCCTCTGTGATGGAGCTGGAATCACCATTACTGTTGTTAACAACACCAAATTTGTTGGTACAACATTCACCCTCTGCTTTTCTCTTGCGTGATTCAACTGGGTCGTGCTCAAAATTTGTGTTGATCAATTGGGTTAATTGCTTCTGCAGAGCCATGTAGTTGTCACACAAGTGTGTCAACATCTCAGTCAACCTCTTGTTCTCACAACTCAGTCGACGCAACTCTTCCACCAAAACCCCATCCTGTTCACAAGATTTTCACTGTTATTGTTTGCATTATGGCAACCCATCAATTTCTTACATCATCTTTTTGATTGACATAAAACATCAAAAGTGAGATTGTTTGTGTATGAGAACATATAAACTAACCGTGTGCACAGAAGAAGGATGAGCGTTGAGATTGAGTGAAGTATCCAAACATGTTGGTTCCATTGGAGTATGTTGTAATGAAATTAATGTTTGTGGGAAAGTGTGGTTGAGATATTTATAATAGTGAGGAAATTGGAGGAAGAAAGTGTGAAAATTTTTGGTGAGGGTAGGAAAGTTGCAGGAAATGGGTGAAAAAGCATGTGATGAAAGAACTCACGTCATCAGGTTTCGTCATTGTTATTCTTCAGCATACACGCGTGTTTTGGAAATACATTAACATTTTTTAAATTTCTATTAAACATAAATACTATAAAAGTCAATAACTTTATCATACACATTTGCGTAATTATTTTGTTAAAAAACCAGATCAAACCATATTCATAATTTCACCAAGTCGTTAAGCTTATCTCTATAAACATAGTTGACGTTGAATTTGGTCATATTTTTCTGTGAGTAATAAATAAAAATAGTGTATCTCTTTGACTTTGTAACATATTCCATTTCTCATTGACAAGAGAGTCTTTATAAAATATTCACTCAGGTGTTTCTTTATTAATTTAACCAAGTGTCTTATATAATCGTGTTTGAGTATATAACTTTTTCAATAACTTAACTTTTTTAGTTTGAGATATCTCTCAGCTCACTTTCTTTTTTTCGACCACTATTGTGTCTCACTATGTTCTTTAAAAGTTAAAAACTCATGAAAAAAGTTATATAATTTCTATTCAAAGTTACAAAAACTATAGCACATTTCCATGATAAACACAAAATTGAAACAACCAAAATTTCTTCTTTCTGATAATGCCATTTCAGTTTTTATGTTTGAATATGTGAAAAAAATGTGTGTAATTTGAAAACTTATATGTATTACGTTTTTATTTTGTTTAATCTTTTAGTAATAGTAAATAATTTTTTTATTAGTTGTGGTGTTTTTCAAACACTACCTCTTATTTAATTTTTTTTTCATTTCATTACACTCTATTTTTTTTTATTATTGATATCAAAAGATTTGAATTTAAACTCTCTCAAATTTCAATTTATATTATTGTTACGTGAATAATTGAGCAAATCAATCTATTATATTATTTCATGCAACACGAGCCTTTGGGTTAGTTATTGTATAAAATAATGTTGTTTATTATTAAATATGAATGTCATGTCATATAATTGTCTGCTTTCATTTTTCAATGCACGTGTAGTGGTTGGAGTAGGAACATTGAACGGTTATAACTAAATTAAGTTGTGAATTAAAATATTTAACTAAATTAAGTGCAATTTGTTCTCCAAAAAAATAGTGCTACTACTTGATATATTTGTATAGGTCAAATTGAGGCAAATCAATGAAGTTTGATTTTTTTTAATTTGAATATTAATTTCATGTTTTTCGTTAATCCACTGTTTGAACTAATTAAATCGCACACTTTCCTTTCTTTATTTTTTATTATTTTAGCTTAAGGTTTGGCTAAAAGGAATGGTAATCCCATCTTCAAATTAAAAGAAATTGATGAATCATATCAAATTGACACATTTTTATTATATTTACCACATTAAATTAATATTTTCATTTTGTAAAGTTTATATCAGTTTTATCAGGACATAAAATTTAAATTTTTGTAAAATTTATTTTAAAATTTATTTTAAAGAAAATCAAAGTAATAAATTGATTTACATGAAATCATGTCCTATATTTTACGATATTATAGCGACTATTTTTTCAATAAATGAAAGTTAAATTTTTTTAATTAATGTTAATAGTAATTTTTATTGAAAATTGATATCAGTGGGATAAATATTTTTTCAAGACACTCACACAATAAAAAAAAATAGAGTAAGACAATTTAAACTTTCTTTTAATATTTCATTCACTTTTTTAAATGTGTGCATAGTCATGCATTTGAGTTACCTTTTATAGGTTATAATTTATAATATAATAATCGTAAATGTTTCTTAACCACAAAAAAAGTTACACCACGTTATTTGTTTGCAATTTTCCAGTTTTGAGTTTTTCTATAAATGGTGCCTATTAATTTTATTTTTTTTGCCTCTTAATAAGCTAATGAAAGTTGAAAGCTTTTCAATGAGGTATTGTATGGTCCAATAACAAAATGTGATGCATATACTTGATTTATTTCTGACATTGTCTCCCTTAAATCAAGTTTCTACCATTCCAAACATTTTTTTCAACTTGTAAAATAACTCAGTTTTCAGTGCCTTTGTAAAAATATCTACAACTTGTTCTTTAGTTGGAAGATATTCGATTACTACTTTTTTCTCAGCTACTAGTTCCCGGATCTTGTGAAATCTAATATTTATGTGCTTAGATCGTCCATGAAAAACTGGATTTTTGGATAATATAATTGCAAACTTGTTGTTACAAAATATCAATGTAGGAGTATCTTGCTTCTGATGTATAGCTTCAAGCATCCTTCTCATCCATATTGCTTGTATAGCATAACTTGTTACAATTATGTATTTTGTCTCGGCTGTTGAGAGTGCAATTATTGACTACTTCTTTGAGGACCATGATACTGCTCCAGTGCCTAAATGAAACGTGTACCCCAACGTGTTTTTCCTTGTTTCAATATCTCCTGTCCAGTCACTATCTGTGTATCCAACCAACTTTACGTTATAATTATTAGCATAAAAAATTCCCTCAGTCAGAGTACCTTTGATGTATTTGAGGATTCTTTTTGCCCTTTATAAATGATATGCACGTGGTTCTTCCATGAATCTATTGAGCAATCCTACTTCAAATACAATATCTGGTCTAGTGGCAGTTAAATATCTGAGACTTCCAATTAAGCTTTTGTAGTATGTTGAATCAACCCTTCTTTCATCATTATCTTTTTTCAACTTCAACTTTTCTTTAACATGTATTGAGATTGACTTTGAATATTTCATTTTGAATTTCTTCAAAATGTCTGCAGCATACTTCTTTTGAGATATAAAAATTTCATCATTATGTTGAATAACCACAATACCAAGAAATTATGACATTAGACCTAAATCTGTCATCTCAAAACATTGAATCATGGCCTCCTGAATTTTGCAATCATCTTTGGATTATTGCTAGTAAAGATTAGATCATCAACATAAAGGCATACAATAATAATATCATCTGGATCAACAATTTTAATATATAAAGTGTGCTCAAATGGGCATCTCTTAAATATTGTACAAAATAGGAATCAATCTTTTTGTATCATGCTCTAGGTGCCTGTTTCAAGCCATATAATGTTTTTTTTCAATCTGTAGACTTTATTTTCTTTTCCTTTAACTTCATATCCTGCAGGCTGCTCAACATATACTTCTTCTTCCAAAGTACCATTCAGAAATGCAGATTTAACATCCATTTGATGAATTTTCCAATTATTTTGAGCTGATAGAGAAATAAGCATACAAAGTGTATCTAATTTTGCTATAGGAGAAAATACCTCAAAATAATCAATTCCTGGCTTTTGTTTGTACCCTTTTGCTACCAACCTTGCTTTGAAACGATAAATTTCTCTACTAGGCTTGTACTTAGTTTTGTACACCCACTTCACTCCAATTGGTCTTTTTTCTGCTGGTAAGTCTGTCAGCCCCATGTTTGATTTTTCATCAGGTGTTGGATCTACATGTTCATTCTCCTTTTCATAATTTTCTAGCATTATTGTAGGCTCATTTTGGGATTTGGATGACCAGTCCCACATTCCTTCTTCATCAAAGGTCACATCTCTGTTGATAATTACTTTCTTTGTCTCTTGATTGTAGAGTTTGTATGTCTTTGAATTTATGCAGTAACCAATAAATATATATTTTTCTCATGTATCATCGAGCTTCTTTCTTAGCTGATCTGGTACATGAGCATATGCTATACACCCAAAAACTTTGATATGTCGAATTGATGGTCTCTTTCCGCTCCAGGCTTCTTCTGGTGTTTTCTCACAAATACTCTTTGTTGGACATCTGTTCAAGATATACACGGTAATAGCAACAACTTCTGCCCAAAATTCTCTAGGCATTTGTTTTGCCTTTAACATGCACCTTACCATATCCATAATGATCCTGTTCTTTCTTTTGGCAACTCCATTTTGTTGGGGAGTGTATTTGGTTGTTAGTTGATGATGAATTCCATGTTGCTCAAAATAATCTGCACAGACAAGGTATTCTTGACCTCTGTCTGTTCTCAATGCTTTAATCTTGCAGCCACTTTGTTTCTCCACAAATACCTTACATGACTTAAAGGCATCACATGCATTTGATTTATGCTTCAAAAAATACACCCACGTTTTTCTGCTGAAATCATCAATAAAGGTAATAAAGTACTTGTTACCGCCATGTGTTAGGATTTCAATTGTGCATAAATCTCAATGAACAATCTCCAATGGCTTTCTCGCTCTCCATGACTTTCCTGTAGGAAATGATTCTCTGTACTTCTTTCCCAATTGACAAATCTCACACACACTATTGAGAATATTTATAACAGGCAAACCAAAAACATATTCTTTCTTTGATAGATAATTTAATCTAGAAAAAATAAAAGTGTCCAAAGCGCATATGCCACAACCAATCATCATTTGGTATGATAGAACTCAAACAAGGATATTTTTCATGTTGAATTTTCAAAGGGAATAGGCGATTCAGAGTCATTTTTACCTTGGCTATAAATCTCCCACTCTTGTCAATCAACATGTAATTCTCATAATGAATCTGCATGTTGTATCCTTTTTCTGATAGTTGTCCCATGCTTAATAAATTATGATGAAGACCAGGAGTATAAAAAACATCAGAAATGAAATTCTGTGAACCATCTTTCAATCTAATCATGATTTGGCCTTTTCCCAGAATTGGAATATTGCTATCGTTGCCAAACTTAACAGTTGAAGTAACTGTTTCATCTAGCAAAGAAAATAGTTCATTTTTTCTACACATATGATTACTACACCCAGTATCAACTAGATATTTTCATCTTTTAAGAAGTTATTGCTTGCCAAAAATAAACTTTGTGGGTTTTTAGAATTCTCACCAATATCCTGGTACTAATTTTTTGCAATGTTTGCATGTTGTTGGAATTTGCAATC